TTAATGATTAAGAACCATATCTCAATTGATCCTCTAAGTGAGTCTTAGTACAATTGTATGTCTAAGAAGAGGGATCGAGAATTCAAGAAATGGTTAAATCAAGAAGTCAATCATAATTCATTCCAAAAACAAGTCTTAGAGTTAACATTGTGACATTGAGTGACAAATCTTAAGAAGGTTTATAACATTCACCAAATGTGGAAAGTTGTGATGACCTGGATAAGACAAAGACCAACTAGGACCAATTTTGTGAAGTGTTTTGTCTTGATAAAAGCTACACTAACTCTTGAATATTTGTTAGTCAAGAAATGTTTATTGACAAGAGAATCTCATATGTCAAGGAGTCAGTGGGAGTGTTAATGGTCTTGAAAGGTCTCAAGAACAAATCAAGAATAAACCTTATCAATCATCACTAGCACAAGACTTGAGGTTTATAACCTATCGTGTTCACGTTATTTTGTTTCTGTGCCATTCCAATTGAGTTAATTATGCATGTGAGTTCCATGAGTTCTCATTTGAATGCACAAAAGGCAAGCACCTTGATCAATGAAAAGAACATTGATAAGAAAGGGCGAGCTGCTTAACTACTTGGGAGACATGGTGGGCAGCTGTGCTACCATAAGGCAAAGAAATTAAGATTAAGAAAGTTCGTTCCATAAGAGTTTGGATTTGTTGCAAAATTTGGTTTTGACAAATTTAGATGGATAAGAACACACACACCATTAAAATCTAAGTGTCATAAGATTTCCTCCTTCATGAAGATGGATGTGAGGAAATGCTTTCACTAAGAGAGATTTTAAGAAGATAGCAATTGTAAAATTGTATTCTCAAATTTGATCATGGTTACGGTATCCCTTTCCATAATTCGAATTGTGAGATTTGGCAATTAGTCTTAATTATTAAGACACATATATGAGCTATCTAAAGGAATGGTGTATAAGCTTAGATAAAGGATTATCAAAGCATTATGTGTTAGAAACATGAACTTAAGAAATTCAATAGGTATTGTTTTTCTGAAATTTATGTTGTTTCTGAATACATGTCAAAGCTAGTGGGAGCATAAGTGTTATGTTTATAATAATCATCATGATAGTGGGAGCATAAATATTATGATTGTATGATTATTAAGGCAAGTGTTGCATGTAGGCAATATTAATTATAGAAAACAAGAGTCATACTTTGCAAAGTTGTAAGGGTTGAATAGTTGTTTTGCTATAATTAAGGGAGAGAATATTATGCTTCATTTCAAATCTAAAGGCTTACGTTGTGGAATGTTAATAAATTTAGTCAAGAGTACATAATGAGTTCTCAAAATTTCAATTATGATTATAGAATCCCTCTTCATATTTCGAATTGTGAGAACGTTGCATATAGAATATTGTGGCAGAAGATTGATAAAGTATCAAATCTTTATGCATCGTGTCCCATACGCTTCGGGTACAAGATCGATTACAAATGCTATAATATTTAACCATTCTAAATTTTTTCCAAATGTCTAGCGCATTTGGAGAAAAAAAAAGGACAAGAATTGGTTTTGACTAAGATAATTAAATAACTATCAAAGGACAATCCAAAGTTCGCCGAGGATTGGTCGCTTGTGAGTAGTTAGAAGTATGATATTGGATGGAGCATATTGACATTATTATGAATAGATAAGATTCTATTAAGAATGAGTCGTGATATGGTAAGTATGGAAAGGTTTCCATATTGGGAGTTGGAAATTGAGAATCTATGTCTAGATTAGAAACTTTATGCAAAAGGATGTTCAAAGAAATGTACTTTGAGTTAGAGACATCACATCTAAGGAATTGTATTGTAACAATTTCCGATAGAGAACCTTGTAATTCATTGGCAATAGTCATTGTGATAGTTGTGCTATGACATTAGAAAAGGATCTTTGCATAAAATGTTAGAATCTAACATATTCTATAAGTGGCAAGAATTTGATATTCTTACACTTATGATATGGATTGGGAGTTGTGAAATGAGTATGATTGGAAATATGTTCATTGGATCTATTTCACAAAGTAAGAACCATAGGTAAACATTGTGTGCATGCTAAGAGCATGGGACAAGTGTAGAAATTCAAGTAAGAAGTTGATTAACCAAAACAACAAATAATGAGTAATCGATATGGTAATGAATAAAAGGTGTTTTATTTATACTCAAAGGTTTGAGGCCATATGGGATTAGTATTATTCTTGTGTTTCACTTTGCATGTTTTGACTTCCTGAATAATTAATTATTTCAGAATAGTCAAATTATTCGAATGGGCCATAGTCGTTCATATGTTTGAAGTAGGTATGAATGAAGATTGTTGTGAATTGGTGAGTGGATTGTCTAAAGAGTATTAGACATAAGCAAATGTTTGCTGCAACGTTCATGAGTGCTTATGAATATGATTTGAGCATTGGATTAAACCCACGCTTACTTGGATTACTTCGTGGATTCTATCACGAGTGATTGGTGAGACGATAACATCTTATATTCTTGAAACCGAGATGTGTGAGTTGTATCTTGCGAGTCGGTTGCGCATTAATAATATGTAAATGCACCAGTAACTTGGTGTTATAAAACATATTGTTGTGTGTGATTCGGTGACTGAGTGCAAGCGAACATTGAATCAAAGTTTATCCATTCCTTTTATCCAAAGTAGGATAAAAGCGATATCTTTGGGCCCTTCGATGATTTAGTGATGACAAACGTAAATGCTCAGCCGGGCTAGGGCTAATTTGATTTGTTCAATTAGTCAGTCATCCTAAATCAGAAGTCAAGAAATGGTACAGAGAAAATGATTAGAAATCATGTCTTATACGATATTTAGAATGGAGGAATATATGATCCCTTATCTAAAGGACACATGTAGCTGATAAGATTAGAGTTGACAGCAGCTTTGGAAAGCTACGATTGCAGATCAGCGTCTGAAGTCATACGCATAATAGTTATTAGATTTATCCAAGTGGGAGACTGTTGGATTAGTATCTAAGTCCATAACTATTTTGGTATGTACTTGACCCGATGGTGCATGGTCCTTTTGGGTTGCCTTCACCAAAGCAACTTGATAGGATGAATTATGGAATAAAAGATATTAATTAAACTTAAGGGACTGGAATTATAATTATAAGATAATTGCAATTGGGCTATGGATAACTTTATAAGGTTAGACGAATTCTATGGGGAAACCCATTAGAAATCATCCAAGGCCTTTAAGAAAGGAATCCATGAGCTGCTTATGGCTTAAGCAGTCAGATTAGGGTTTCCTAGTTTAACCCTAATAGCCTACATGTATAAATAGCACCCTTAAGCCCCAAAAACGAGATGATGAAATCCTCTAGGGTTTTGGACGATTTTGGGCAGCCTCCTTCTCTTCTCTTCTTCATCCTTTTGCTCTTGGTGTTTATGAACCATTAGAGGAGTGACATTTGTGACTCTAAGCTTTCTAAAGTCAATTCAAGAAGGATTTGAGATTGTTATTGATACATAACAATCAAGGTATGATCTAAACCATAATTATATGTTATATTGATTATCATATGCTAGATCTAGGGTTTATAGTCTTGGATAAATTGCATGTACAATAGAGAAACCTAGATCCAAGATTAGGGTTTGTATGAGCACATAGGATGTTCTTATGACTAAAACCCATCAGAATTTACTTTAATAAAATCTGATTTATATTTATTCACTTATGAATAACGATAGCTGAAAATATAATTTTTTTTTTTATTTTATCTTAAAACTATATCAATATGGATGTATATTTGTGGAGAATAAAAAATAATGAATTTTGGTATAATTAACATGATTTTTCGATAAAAATAGCTTCTTAAAAATAAAAAAAATTAAAAAAAAAAAACTATGTTTTTATATATATTAAGGTAATGATTAATATAGTATAAGAAAATATGTTTTGTTGGAAAACACGTGTGTATTCATTACCCATTTCTGCTGGTACGACAGAGGTTTTTGCGGAAAATATAAATGAGTGATTGAGAATGATTTCTCCATTCTCAAGCTTTTGTATTTTCTCAATTGAATATATATATATATATATATATATATATATATATATATATATATATATATATATATATATATATATATATATATATATATATATATATACCTTATAAAGCATTTTCAGTAAAATGCTGAATTTTAAGTCGTACAAGTCTTATTGCACTATTTACAATTAATTCATGCATTACCAAATCATAAATTTTAGTTTGGTCAACATCTGAAAAATTCAACGGAAGTTTCAGAGCTCTTTATCGACAGGGAGAATCGTTCAACAATTTACATCCTAGCGCCTATATTTATGCATATTAATATTATAAATAAACAACAAGACCATCGAACCACCTCCAATTAGGTTTTGTTTTTCTGATTTGGTACCCTCACCAACGCCTTCACCACTATCCATTATCTTCCATCTCCACCTTTACCCCATCCACCGCCGTTACCAAACTTCACAAAAACCCTCAACACCGACCATGCCTCCTTCTTCCTACCTCTTTCTCCATAATTAACCCCAATAAACCTAGATATTACCTTCTAACACAGATCTATCATAGCTAAGTCAGTTGTTTTTTCTCCCTTACAATTAATGTTGCTTTTGAAGATTTGAAGGCATATCATCAAAGACATGTAACTTTCATTAATATTTTGCGATTTTTGGGTTTCATTTTGTACTATTTTTTGATTAAACCAAATAAATTGTAAGCGGATTAAACAGAATCAGATGTAAGTTTTGGTGTATTTTTTTAATGGCACGCCCTAACAGAGAGATGTGAGAAAATGCATTTTTTTTTTTAGTTTGGTGCTTCTTTTGTGTTCTTACTTTGCCTTTTGATTTTGTGATTTACATCCTACTTATTGCAGGTCGATTCTCTACTAATCGGCTTAAAAAGGTTAAATTTTTTTTTTCTACCTTTCTATTTGTTTGGTTTATTTTATCTTCTATCCATATGACGATAAGAAAAAAAATGTTTGAATGTATAAAATTTTACCTTGAACAAATCCTTTCATGATTTTTATAATCTTGATGATTTTGTTTTGGTTTAAAGGATGAGTTTAACTGTTTTATAGGAACTTTTTTAAAAGATGCATATCACGTGTTCGATTGAATGCCTTCAAGAAACCGATTCCATTCGGAACCTTTGAAGGCACTTAATTTTTATATCAATATTGAAATATGATGATTTGGAGGTAATAAGTTAACACTCACACATGATAATCACACAAGTTTATTCATTATGTTCTATCCTCTCTTGGTCTCTTAGGTAAATAAAGTTGACCTAATTCGACAAACATGCTATATTTTAACTTCAGGATTGATTAGTTTTCTTCATGTGTCCCAGGTAGAAATAGTAACCAAGTACCAAAATATTTCAGTTCATAATGGTCAGCTCATTTAAACAGGCGTTTGCGATATGTTTTTGGCATTGGTCACTAGAGGAACACGATTGTGATACCTGGTATGGATAGGATGTAATATTTGTTTTTAAAAGTTATGAACCTTCTTCCATGATTTAATTTGGCAGTTGTACAGATCTTAAAATTGTGGTTTCTTTTGTAGTTTCTATTAATGTTAAAGAAAAGCAATCCAAAGCAACATTACATTGGTTGATCATTGTATTTCTTAGGCATAACTGTGATTGGGGTCAACCATTGTTACATCGATTGGTCATGTATTTCTGCCCTTTTTCTTTTTTTCTATTCATTGATTTTTTGTGATCTTCTTTCAGCCTCTTACTCTCCATGTTTTGTGGCTTGTATAATCTGCTAATTCATAAATACATGAAGAAATTTCATAAAAGCTAATTTCAACCCAAAGGCAAGAAGTTGATCAGGCTGTAAAGAAACTGTTTTGATGTCGTTTTCTTGCTGATGTAAAATCATTACAAGTAGGTTGTTATTTTTTTTTGAATTGGTTTCTCACGTAGGAAATTGTACAGGTCCTGCTAAGGGGCTGTTTGGTGGGATCTGAATTATTAAGATCTGAATTTTTAAGTGGTCTGAATTTATAAGAGCGTCTGAATTTTTAAGATCTGAATTTTTATCATGTTGTTTGGTTGGAACATCTCAATTGTTGTCTTTATCATAAAAATGACCATTTTACTCTTCTGTATTATGTTTTTTTTTTTCCGAATTCAATGTTTCTTTTTATAAAATAAACATACCACTTCTTGAGTAATTATAAAAACATACATATAAACAATATACAAAATCAAACATAAACAAAAATCAAAATCAAACATAAACAAATGTGACTTTCACACTATGATTGAGTAATCGTTACATAAGATACATCAATGGGATTACATGAGCTTGTGTTGCATATGGTATAAGTAATGCATATGGCTTTCCCATCTCTATTTTTCATACATATGTTAACCAATTTGCTTTCACCACCAATAATCAAAACATCTTCAAATCATTTGTTTTATATTAAGGGTGTGTTTGGCAAAAGTAGTTGTTAGCTGGAAGCGGGTAGCGGTTAGCTGGTAACGATTAGCTGGTAGCTGGTAGCGGAAAGCTGTAGCTTTTATTTGTTATATGAATGTTTGGCAAAAGTAGCTGAAAGCTTTTAAAATATATAAAATTACATAAAAGGACAATTTATTAAAAATAAAAAAATATATAAATGTATTTTTAAGGATAATTATGGAAATTGATTTCAAAAGCTCCGGAGCGTTTTGTTAAAAGGTACACGAAGTAGCTTTTAGAATCGGAGCGTTTTGTTAAAACTAAAAGTTAAACGCTCATACTGCCAAACGAACCTTTTTATTTAAACTAGAGCGTTTTGTCAAAAGCTAAAAGCTAGAAGCTCCCAAACGCTTCCAAAAGCTCTGTGCCAAGCACTCCCTAAGCCACCAGATAGGTATTTGATACCATCAACATATACAAAACATGAAAATGCAGAACAAGGGAAAGAAGAAAAAAACACAGATAACATGAAAAAAAAATCTTTTTCTTTGATTGAAACCAGAAATCAGGAAAAAAATGCAAAGGTAAAAGCAATACATGGAAAAAAGAAAAAAAAATGCATCCTTGTTCTTGTTCTTGTTCTAGTAAGAAATCAACAAACATTTTGAGATTTTATTCTTCCTATAGATTTGTATTTTCCGATGATATCTACGATGTTTGGAAGATGATTTAAACTTGAGCAGGATGGATCATTAATCAAATAACCTTGCACCTTTCAAGCAAAACAAATGAAAAAACTTAGGGCAAAGCATATGATTGCAGATCGATGGCGATTTCAAGCAAACCTGGAGGGTTCGTTGTCGGCGGCGATGATGTCGTTGCCGGTGGCGATGACGTTGCAGCCGGATGCGATGTCACTGGCGGAGTCGGAGGCAGAGGCGGTGGTCAAATGGTGGCGGATGGGCTGGTCGGTTTGCAAATCGGAGATGCAATGGGGATGGAGCGTCGTGTGTTGTGAAAGAGAAAAGGGAAAGTGGGGATGCAATATTAAGGGCAAGCGTGTCAATTTTTTATTCAGACTTAGACTCATATCTGAAAAAATAAGAGACGTATGATAAAATAAGAGGTAAAAATTCAGAAGTTACCAAAATCTCTTAATCTGAAAAGTTAAGAGATTGCCTCTTAATTTGTCAATTAAAAGGCTACCAAACAGCTAACCAATCAAGGATATGTAAAATAATGATCCATTAATACAAAATGTAAGATCTCATTTGTTTTTTGTTTAGATTATAGCTCTAATCATGGTGATTTGACTTTTTAGATATTAGGTTTTTTACTTTTCAGTTCCCCCCCCCCCCCCCCCCCCCCCCCCTCTCTCTCTCTCTATATATATATATATATATATATATATATATATATATATATATATATATATATATATATATATATATATATATATATATATATATATATATATATATATATATATATGGGACAACCTTATTGTCTCTTTGTTATTTCCCTCATATAGAATTCTCTAACAAATTGTCATAGTCTCTTAGAACATTGATCCCGAAAGCTTAGCAAAAAGCATTAAAGTTAGTCACACAAGCGGTTTGTATTTTTTGCGGACTGTTGTATTTGTGTTGGGTAAACTAAGTGATTGGGGTTGATTTTGGCTTGTGTATTCTTTTACATGGTGTTATTGTCAGAGTATTTAGTTGTAAGGGGGTGGGGTGGTTATGGTATCATACATGTGAGTTGAGTTTTACAATTAGGTGATATTAGTTGAATTATAATCGACTATACTTGAATTAAGGGAAATACTTTGTATTATCCTGCTACTGATAGAGTTATATTTGGGTTTAATTGACATTATTAACAATTTTATGGTATAATTTTACCCAAAAGAATGCCAACATGTATAGCTCACATTAGATATATGGCAAGCTACAATAACCACCAAATCAACATTAAAGCTTCACAAATATAAGATAAAAAATGGCAGCTCACTTCATTTGTTTGACAACCAACAAACGTCACTTTTATTTCAAAAGATACATCCAATATCAGATGTGATTCTTTATGTGTTTTTTTTTTTTTTTTTTCATTCATGTTTTTCTTATATTATACTTATTTTATTGGTTAGCATGGATAATAGTTTGATATGAAAAAGATGTACAAAGGCACAATTATTTTCTTATTATAGTATGGACCCGAAGGAAGGTAAGGACTCATGGAATGGGTTATGATTTACCATTTTTTTTTTTTGTAGCGGCCGAATGACAATGTCTTAAAGGCCATTTTTAGTTTGTTTGCACCTCCCATTGACAACCATTTCTTACTATAGCATCCTACGTGCTTTATTTAGAACACGATTCATGAAATATAAGAAATTATAACATAATTTTATTTGTTTATGTATTATATCCTCCTAAATTCTGTTTATAGAACAAGATGACTAATAATTAATATATTTGGCTTAATTATTTAAGACGTACAAAAGTTTATTTTAATGAATCTTTGTAAAAGAAATCCATTTGTTGGATCCTAAATGGTAGTAATTTTGTATGTGAAGAGTTCATTCGAGTGTTTAAGTTCGTCACTTGCAATTTAACAAGGTGAGTTCACGCATATACTTTATAGATACCAGTCTAATGTTTTAGGGGCAATGATAACCATCAATGAAGCTAAGCCATGAGGTCATGATCAAGGATGTGGAAGTTCAATTTCTTTTTTAGGTTTACGGTGGCTATAGTTTGTGTAGTTTGTGTAGCTTTTACAAGTATAGGATACATGATATGTTATTTATACATCTTAAAGTTTTATTCATTTTTCATGAAGCATATTGAACTTATAGATTGTAAAATTGAAAAATACTAATTGTTGTATTGAGACTAACAACACAAGCAAATATCTTCTAATAAGTAACCAAAAAGTAATATATTATATTGACCTTGCACCCGTCACTTGGCGCGGGTAAACGGCTAGTGTGTGCGTGTGTGTGTGTGTATATATATATATATATATATATATATATATATATATATATATCAACTGTTGTCAATAATATCTCATCTGAATACCTGTGTTCTTCCCGATGAAAGGATTTGTGACCCATTGCTACGTAGGTACTGCCTCTTCTACGTTCTTTTACTTCTTTCCGGTTCAAGTGTGTACTTGTGTGCCGGAGAAAATGTAAACATATATACTTTTTAATTATATGAGAGCATTGTTCGCGTACTTTTATAATCTTGTTCTTCCTCATTAATAAGCTTAATATATGAAAAGCAATCTAGCAATTTCTAAGCTTGTAATAGCGAAGATGGTGGTTATAAAGAGAAGGGTTATCCAAGTAATTCAAATAATAAATAGATAACTAGATTAGATTGTTTGTATTTATCTAGAAGTTGTTGTGTAGTTTCACAGATCCGATTCTTATGGATCTTCCTGTGTAATTTTTATCTATATATATCAATAATATACCTACGGGAAAAACTTAAGCCAATTCATTCTCTGTTTCATTTTTTTACTTGGTATCAGAGCTCTGGGATTTTTCTTCCGTTTTTCAATTAACCCTTCTCAAATCATCGAGATCCATGGCCACTACATTCATTAACTCATCTAAAATTGCAACAGCAATAACGTGCAAACTGACCTGTGTAGGATTTTAATCTTGATATTTTTTAGTTTTATTATTCAGCAAAATAAGTAGTTTGTTTTTTTATTGAATGGGTCATGTGGACCAAGTAATAGGGCTGGAAAACAGGAAAGCGTGGGCTTAGTTGTGTTTAGGGTCGTTAGGTCTTTTTTGGCTATAAATGCCATCTCGTGTCATGAATAGAAGGCAGTCGTTTTCTGCATTACTATTATCTCTTCTCCTCTTTATTTCTCTTCCTTAAAAATCACAGATTGAGTGGTGTGTTTGTTGTTACAAAGAAGTGTGTCTACAAGGCCTGATTCCGACATTTGGTATCAGAGCCTAGGCTCAATTAGAAGAAGGAGGAGGTGATTTCATGGAAAATTGAAGATCACGATGTTGCAGAAGTAAAAACCGATAGAAAGCAAGAAAGAAAGAAAGCAGGAAAGAAAGAAGAAAGAAAGAGAAAGAAAGAAAGCAGGGTAGAAAGAAGAAAGAAAGAGAAAGAAAGAAAGCAGGAAAGAAAGAAGAAAGGAAGAGAAAGAAAGAAAGCAGGAAAGAAAGAAGAAAGAAAGAGAAAGAAAGAAAGTCTTTACCTGAGAAAGAGAGAGCAAGAGAGACTGAGTATAAAGTCTAAGAGAAAGAATGGCTGGAGGATCAAACCAAGGGGGATCAAAAGAGGTTGTGGCTCAAGGTACTGCTGTACCATTTCAATGTCCTAAATTGATTAAAACTAATTATACTACTTGGTCTATTATGATTGAAACTGTTTTGAGGGCATATGGACATTGGGATGCAATAACCAAGGATGTAGTTAATGAGAAGAAGAATTATACCACCAAAGGCGTACTTTTCCAAACCCTCCCAGAGAATGTTCTTTTACAGGTTGCTAAACACAAGAATGCAAAAGATGTTTGGGAATCAATCAAGATTAGGTATATTGGAGCCGAACGAGTGCAAAAAGCAAGGTTGCAAACCTTAAGAAATGAATTGGAGATGCTTAAGATGAAGGACAATGAGTCAATCAATGAGTTTTCGGGCAAAATAAGTGGTATTGTTGCCAAGTTCAAAAGTCTAGGTTCAACTCTTGAAGAGGAGGTGATCGTAAGAAAGTTTCTCAATTCGGTTCCAAAGAAGTACTTGCCAATTGTGGCTCCAATTGAACAATATTCTGATCTTGAAACTATGACATTTGAAGAAGCGGTTGGAAGGGTCAAAGCCTATGAAGAAAGGCTTCAAAGTCATGAAGAAAAGGAAGAAGAGCAGGGTCAACTCAAGATGGCCAGTGAACTAAGGCATGATGATAGTAGTGGACATGGAAGAGGGCGTGGAAGAAACTATGAAAGAGGTGGAAGAGGTCGAGGAAGAGGAAGAGGTCGAGGTGACAAAAATAGCTTCCGATGCTTTAATTGTGGAGACTTTGGGTATTTTAGCTATGAGTGCACAAAGTGGAATGACAAAGACAATGACAAAGAAGCAAACTCGATCCAAGATGAAGAACCGACATTACTTTGATGAAAAAATTATCAAGATTAAGGAGGTGAATGTAGGATTTTAATCTTGATATTTTTTAGTTTTATTATTCAACAAAATAAGTAGTTTGTTTTTTTGTTGAATGGGTCATGTGGACCAAGTAATAGGGCTGGAAAACAGGAAAGCGTGGGCTTAGTTGTGTTTAGGGTCGTTAAGTCTTTTTTGGCTATAAATGCCATCTCGTGTCATGAATAGAAGGCAGTCGTTTTCTGCATTACTATTATCTCTTCTCCTCTTTATTTCTCTTCCTGAAAAATCACAGATTGAGTGGTGTGTTTATTGTTACAAAGAAGTGTGTCTACAGGGCCTGATTCCAACAACCCGCACAAACTTCCTTCTCTGGAAAGCACAGGTTTTCCCGGTTGCTAAGATCATTGCCAGTACCGGAGATGCAGCACGTCAATGCGACAACCCTGAGTATGACACATGGGTCACTCAGGATCAAGCAATTCTCGGTAGATTGCTATCCTCCATGACTGAAGAAGTTCTCTCTCAACTCACGCGTTGTGTAGACACGTCAAATTAGTTGTGGACTTCTCTTCTAACAATGTTTTCTACTCAACACAAAGGTAACTCTATCCAGATTCGTACTCAACTCTCTAACACAAAAAAAGGCGACATGAGCGCTTCTGAATATTATCAATAGATGACATCATTGGTAGATACCATGGCCAATATTGGTCATCCCATGACTGATGAAGAAGTTATTGGGTATATCCTAGCCGGTTTAGGCCTAGGGCATGGAGAGTTGTTTACAGCCATCACAGTTCTAAGCAACAATCAAGAAGTTAAACTTTCAGAATTTTACTCCTACTTGATCGCCCATGAAGCTCAAACAACAACAATGAATGGGTCAACAAATTTTGTATCCTCTACAAACTCTGCAACTAAACAGGAATCCAATAATCCTCGAAAACCCCAAGCAAATCAGGGGCACAACAACAGTAACCAGTGCAACAATCACTACCAAAACAACGGTAATCATGGATGAGGACGTGTAGAGGAAGGTATGGAGGAGGCCTAAGATGTCAAGTGTGTGGAATACCGGGACACACAGCCCTGAATTATCGCAATCGCTTTAATCATTCATACCAAAGTGAGGAATACCGTGGTGGAAACAGTGCCACATTTGGAAATTATACCAATGATCAAAATTGGTACCTTGATACTGGAGCAACAGACCATTTAACAAGCGATCTTGATCGCCTTTCCATACCTAAACGCTATCATGGCAAGGATCAAGTTCAAGTGGCTAATGGCATAGGTTTGCATATCTCTCATGTTGGTCATTCAAAAATCCCAAGTCTAGGACGACCACTTATTCTAAAAAATGTATTACATGTCCCACAAATAAACCAACATCTTCTTTCTGCAAATAGACTTGTCAATGATAATCATGTGTTTATTGAACTTCATCCTGATGTTTTCTTTGTCAAGGACATTATCACGAAGAAAATTCTACTAACTGGTAGAAGTAAACGAGGCTTGTTCCCGGTGCCTATTTGTCATTCTCCTCGTTATGTCGGTTCAACCACCAAAGTTTCATCATTTCAGTGGCACAAACGTCTTGGTCATCCTACACCAACACTTGTCAAGTCGGTTTTGAAGTCAAATAATTTAGATTTTTCTTTTAGCAATAAGTCATTAGTTTGTGATTTGTGTCAACGCACAAAGAGTCACCAACTTCCTTACAATACTTCTATTCATATTACTTCATCACCTCTTGAGCTTTTCCACACTGATGTTTGGGGACCAGCTCAAGTTTCTAGTGGTGGCTTTCGATATTATGTTAGTTTCTTGGATGATTTCAGTCCTTATACTTGGATCTATTGCATTAAACAAAAATCTAATGTTGAACAAGTTTTTTATACCTTTCAAACACATGTTGAATGTTTGTTAAACACCAAAATTCGTATTGTACAATCAGATTGTGTGTGTGTGGGGGGGGGGGTGAATATCACAAACTCCACAAATACTTTCAGCAATGCGGTATCTCTCATCGAGTGTTGTGCCTGCATACCTCCCAACAAAACGGTATGGCGGAACGAAAACACCAGCATATTGTCGAAACCGGCTTGACCTTATTAGCACACTCCTCACTTCCTCTCAAGTACTAGGATGAAGCTTTCCTAACGGCTTGTTATTTAATTAACCGCATGCCTAGCCCTGTTATTCATAATTCTACTCCTATCACACGCCTCTTAAATATCAAACCTGATTATAACTTCTTGGGCACTTTTGGTTGTGCTTGTTGGCCAAGTCTTCAAAAATACAACACACACAAACTATCTTTTCGATCTACTATATATGTTTTCTTAGGTTATAGTTCTATACACAAAGGGTACAAATGTCTCGATAAGCCAACTAGTCAAATTTATTTTTCTAGGGATGTGGTCTTTGATGAGTCTAGGTTTCCTTTTGCAACTACAGTGTCAAACACTCCATCACCCTAGTTGTTGAGTGTCGAGTTTCCTCAAACTGAACCTAATATCATGAACGACCACATGAGAAAATATGTTACATCCTTGTTATTAGCTAACCCTGTTCATGCAGCTACACTTCCTATCAATAGTTCAATGCCTGGAACATCTATAGAAACACATACAATGCCAATCCCTACGATTTCACCACCATCTACAAGTGAACCTGCAGCTTCAGATATAGTACCCACTGGCAAAGCCACTACTCATGGTACAACTTCTATAGCCGATGGTACAGCTTCCAATGAACCCTAATCTATGTCTCCTGCTCCGGCAACTCCACCAGACACTTTAGTCAGCCCACCAGTTGTCCCACCTGGTATCGTCACATGAGAAAGAGTTGGAAAATCTTTTCCAAAACATTTTAAGGATGGTACAGTTCTCTATAATCCTAACAGGCGGACCTTCTTTGCTGAACCAACATCACATCGGTTGGCCTTAGCTGATTTAAAGTGGCGGATTGCTATGAAAGATGAATTTGCAGCCCTACAAAGGAATAACACTTGGTCACTAGTACCCCGGCCAAATGGGGCTAACATTGTTGGATTCAAATGGATTTTTAAAACCAAACTAAATCCGGATGGTTCACTCAACAAACACAAGGCACGCTTGGTGGCATGTGGGTTTACCCAACAATACGGTATTGATTGCCAAGACACGTTCATCCCAGTTGTGAAGCCAGCTACAGTTCGATTGGTACTTGCTCTGGCTGTTTCTAAAAATTGGCATCTCCGACAGATTGACGTCAACAACGCTTTTTTGCATGTGGTTCTTAAATGAAGATGTTTATATGAAACAACCACCTGGTTTTGAAGTCGCCTCACATCCAAATTATGTCTGCAAGCTTCGAAAGTCTATCTATGGCCTAAAATAATCACCCCGTGCGTGGTTTTCTCGTCTCAGTGAAAAACTTCATCATCTTGGTTTTCGCTCCTCCAGAGCTGATAATTCGTTGTTTTTGTTTCATCATGGTCACCATACTATCTACATGTTAGTGTATGTCGATGATATAGTTATCGCTAGCTCCTCTCATGTAATCTTTCATCAGCTTTTCCTCTCAAAGATCTTGGTCGCCTCAAGTATTTTCTTGGGATTGAAGTCACTCACAATTCAAGGGGAATCAATGTGTTTCAACAAAAATATGCGACTGATCTCATACATCGAGCTCACATGGAGAATTGTAAGAGTCTCCTAACCCCCATCTCTATCACAGATAAACTTTCAAAAGATTATGGGAAGTTGTTGAGTGATGATGATGTTTTTATGTATAGAAGCATGGTTGGAGGATTGCAATATCTTACTCTAACTCGGCCTGGTATTTCGTTTGCAGTTAACAAGGTATGTCAATATCTTTCCAAACCAACCGATATGCACTGGGAAGTGGTAAACCGTATACTTCGATATGTAAAGGGCACGATCAATACTGGGCTCAATATTCGAAAGTCTAGTTCCACAATGTTAAATGTTTTTACAGATGCCGATTGGGCTGGTTGTTTGGATTATCGTAGATCCACAGGAGAATTTGTTGTGTTTCTAGGTCCAAATTTGATTTCGTGGAGTTCTCATAAACAACCCATAGTGTCACGCTCAAGTACGGAGGTTGAGTATAATGCATTGGCTAATGGTACAACGGAGGTGATATGGGTACAGTCATTACTCGAGGAGCTTGGAGTCTGTCAACCAAGACCCCTGTTTTATAGTGTGATAACTTGGGTGCCACCTATCTAGCAGCGAATCCGGTATTCCATGCAAGATCAAAACACATTGAAGTCGATTTTCATTTTGTCAGAGAGAAGGTAGCCATGGGAGCAATTGATGTTCGTTTCATTTCTTCAAAAGATAAGATAGCCGATGGATTCACTAAACCGGTTACTCGTCAGATGCTAGATCGTATGAAGTCCAATCTTAACCTTGTAGTTGTTAAGATTGAGGGGGAATATAAAGAGAAGGGTTACTTTGTATAAGGGAGGAGGGAGTCGTTCCCATTGAACCCACCGAACCCACTGCCACATCAGTTTTGTTCTTTGATTTTTCTTCATCTTTCCAAACTCACAACACACGGAAATCCTATCTTTCTCAACCCACTCAACCCACTTAATTAAAAAAATATATATACAAAGTAATCAAGGTAAAATCTTAATTAGCAATAGAGTTACCGCCGGTAGCACTCCCTCTTTGGGAGGTTGTTTAATTGGTTTCACGAACCCACTTCATCCTCTCTCTCTACTTTCTCTCTCTCATTTTCGCTTGTACCATTTGTTTTAAGACTTGTACCTTAGTTGTTTAGTATTTTTTTTTTAATTGAGTGGGTTGAGTGGATTGAAAAAGATAGGATTTCCGTGTATTGTGGGTTCGGAAAGATGAAGAAAAATCAAAGAGAAAAGCTGATGAGGCAGTGAGTTCAGTGGGTTCGGTGGGTTTAATGGGAACGACTTCCTCCTCGCTAAGGGATGAAAGAGGGTCAGGTGAGTATATATGACCCCATTACATGGTCATTAATCTCGTGGATAGCTGAAACAGAATTCCAATATTACTTTTTCATCTATTACAATTGCTTAATTACCAATAGTTAAATAGCTAGCCCCACCGAGTATCTTGATGGAGGAGGTCCAACTCTTATTCCTAAAAGTACAAAAGGTTATTATCGTATATCCATGCTATATATAGCGTCTTCACGTGCAATGAAATCCAACCCTACGAAAGAAGTTCTCCTAATTCAATGGAATACTAAAGTGAACATATGACATCTCTATAAAACACATGTTGATTTAATGGGCACATCCATCACTGATCAATTTATTGCGTTACAAACCCTATGAATCTCTCCCTTATCCCCAGTCTTCACCCCAACATCACCCAACCTCACCATTGATTTCCCGAACTCGACACTGAATTTTGATTGTTGCTGTCTACTCCCTCCAAGAAACCATTCCACAAACCTTTGCGTTCGTGGGTCATTCCATAGCTGTGAGTCTGATTCAAGTATTCCCCTCCCGTTCTTTAGATTTTCATAGTATGAAATGTCAAATTTGTGTACACTGCCTGTATCTAGGTCGACGCGCTTTGCACCATCGCCACCCTCTGGACACAGACTTCTAAGATGGGAAGGAACGTTTGGTTGATAGCTGGATCGGGTCCAGTGGTGTTATTGAAATGGTATAACCTGGAACAGAGTAATGCACAGGCTGTTGTTCCAATCGTATGCCCTCCTGGGTGATCATGGAAACCCATAAACACATCCATGGATTTTTTAATTAGTAGGTCAGTTCCATTTGTTATGTTATGACCATATACTGTTGTAGTATTCTTTGTACTCAACTTACCAGTAAGGGTTACTAGATCTTGAATGTTAAGACCTTTCTCAGCGAACTTTTTAATTTGAACTTCAATGGAGTCCTTTCTACCAGGCAAGTTTGTAGCATCACATTCCCGTGAAACTAATCCATCTCTGCGACCTGTACGCACTTCCCACCAGAGACCCCCACTCTGTAAAATATAAAAAAAGTGGAATAATTAAATGGTTTAAGTCAGGTAAATACAGCTTATTGTTCAATGCCTGCATCCTTAAAGGTTCATTCACAGTTTAACAATCGTTGTACGTGTAGGTTTTCAACTAAAGGGAGCTGATGGATGTGTAAGAATTCATCAACTTATCCAAAATACAAGTTTTGTCACCTCCATAATGCTTGAAATAAAATAAGCATCAAAGGTAGGAATTAGTTACTTGCACTACAGAATCACGAGCAGCGAGGGCAAGAATGTCAGCACAGGAGACCACCCCAGGACAGATGGTTTCAAGTTGGGACTTTGCTGCATCGATGACTTCAAAGCCTCTCAATCGGGAATTAGGAGGTGCAGTTTTTTCAGCATATGACACATCTAACAAGATAGATGCATCGCAGCCACGGACAAAGCAATCATGGAAGAACATTCTTAATAAACCGGGTGCAATTGTGGGGTTGGAGTTGACGAAAGACTGGACCACAGACTGCACAATGATTTCTGCCCTTGGGCATGTGGTTCGGTAGAACCCAACTCGTGTACCTTGGCCTAGTGCCGACATGGCTAAAATGATTAGAAACAAGATGGGTGTTTTGTTATTTGAATAGAGGGCCTCCATCGCCACAAAGATTTGTGGGTAGTGGTTTAAGTGAAGGGTGGGAATTGGGATCACGTCTTTTATAGTGATTGGAGTGGGAGCTAAGCACATGTGGGTTTGCCAAAAATTAAATAACGGCGGCCTCTATACATGCACAGCAAAGGAGGGGATGCAAAGATCCAAAGTTTCTCATATATTATAGGGTCCACATCCTATAATTCTAGTTTAGTAGGAAAATGTGGTTTTTATCCGCTATTCCTTTATGTACTTGTTGTGCTGTTAATATAACTTACAAGTGTATATTCAGAATATCATATGTTTCCCAAGAAAAGTTTTCATCCAAAAGCGGTTTATAACTTTGGAATAAATCCGATCTGGATGGAATTAAAATCAGGTGTATAAAAATGATATAGTCATATTCGTGGAACTAAAAATGATTATTTTCATATTGGTGGAAATAGTCACTAGACTCACAAAGGAAAGAGCTCTTTCTCAATCCTAACCAATGAGGATAGGTTACCATATGGGGTATTTTCTAAATGATATGTTACAGAGTCACTTTTTAATTATTCGTGTGGGAAATGAACACAAACAGCTTTAAGGCAACAAGCTATCTCCCAACTTTCACTTTAGGAATACCTTTAAGGCTAGCTCTCTCATTTGGTACTCAATTGGACATATTCCATAGTGAGATAAGGAATTCAATCGTATACGACATTGTATAAATACAGTATGGCAGGATTGACTAGTGTGATGGTTTCAAAAGAAGGATTTCTTGCGGTATTGGTACTTAATAGGGAACTTAAGGGATATGAATGTACCTTGAGTTCTCAATTCTATTGCATTAGAAAGTGGGGAATTCAATCAGTATGGTCGAAGACAATCAACTGCCTGACTTCTGTAGATTTGTAGTGAGATTGACCGAATTCAGTTTGACTGAGAGTGAGCAAAAGCATCTGGTCAATTCAAACTGCGATTACTAAATTGATTTCTAGAATCTAGTTGGACTTAGAGTCCGATGCCTATCTTGTACGTCTTTGCACAATGGACTTTGACTTTTGAAAGTGTGGAATTTGGCAGGATTGAATGTATTAGGTAAAAAGCCACTTTGTTGAATGAAGTGGAATAGGAAGGGAATGCAAATAGGATAGGTTTGCGAAAGACCGACGTCTTGACTTCTACGTGTGCCTCTCGCTTTCATTCACAGTTTAGTCGAAGTCCTTTAAAGGTCTGCCTGCACGGAGATAGTGATTCAATCTTCCCTGCCTTCCTTCGTAGTGCTTGCAAGATGGAATCTTTCATCAGAGGGTTTTATTTCACCCATTGGTCTTGAGAAATCCTACTTCACCTACCTTTGGAATAGATCTCAAGAGAAGTCTTGACCAGACTACCAAACTCCCGGTCTGTGTTGCTAGATCTCTATGCAATTTTTGCTAGACTTTCCAGGCTGTTGTTGCTACTGCTACAACTGCTAGGAAAGTTACATAAGTGAGGAGGAACGAATAGAACGAATACGGTGAGATACAATTTAGAATCTCATCTAGTTAGGCAAGTAGAGGACAATGATCTTCCAAATGATCACTGGCCAGAACAATCCATGATAGCTATTAACTAGTGCTATGGAGTCAGTCATTCTAAACTATATAGCTCAACAATCTAGTGCAACTAATGTACGAAGGATACAAGAACTCGACTAAAAAGTATGAGAATCTTCATTGTTCAATCAACAACAATAGGGAGGGATTCCCCCGAGGGCATCCCGAACGATTCAATCAACAAAGCAAGTGTTGTGAGTCCACCGGCGAGTGAGGGCTAAACGACATTTATAGATTGAAACTAGAAAACCTTAATTCCTGAATTAGCCTCATGAACAAGCCAGTCTCAACCTTCCTATTCAACTATCTAGTGCGTTTATCTAAGGATAGATCTCGGTATCTGTGGAGAGGAAAAGAATGAATCCTACTAATACGTAAAAATCTTCAAAACATTTATTTGTATTCCCCTTTCTTTATAGGTCTCGTGCTCCCCATATTGAAGGAAATGACGTGGTAAAGTCACCACGACGTGGTGAATTGTCAAAACATGATTCACATTTTTCTCATTTTGCTCCAAGTTTCTCTTCTTCCAATCATAAATTGGGCTACACGGTAGCTGCTTCATGGGTCATAAATAAATTAGAATGAACCTCCCCTTCGGTGCATATCCCCATTACATAAGGTTGTGATTTTTGGTCTTGATTTCTAGGTGGTAATCTCTCATTAACAAGTGTTGTTAGTTGCCCAAGTTGAGTCTCTGTATTTTTAATGGAAACTTGATGATTTCTCATATTAGCATCAATAGTATCATGTCTCATTTCAGATGTTTCCATAAAACTTATGAAGTATCGACTCAAAATCCATCTTCTTCTCTGGTGGTGGTTGTTCTTTTTGGTGGAAACCCCGACCCGTTTGTCTATATTTCTCATGTTTTTACTTCTTGACATCTTTATAGGGCAACCACTCCTTTTTGGGATTCCTCTGTCACACCCTCGAACCGTTAGGAAAACAATGGCAGAAACGTTCGGGGGCGGCGACGTTATACGTAGTATCATAACAATCGTATCATAGCAATCAAAGTAAACATGACCATTACATTACAATATGAATATTTACATTTGTTTGAAAACATAGTTTGTACATCACATTATATAACGAAAGATAAAGACGGGACTACAAAAATGCCCCGTCTTATCCAAAAGCTGGCTAGGTACCTGTCTCTGGTTGCCCTGAGAATACAAGCGATTCTGAAAACGTATCAACATAAAGCTGGTGAGTTCATCAGCACGTTTTTGTATTAAAAACTAGCCACTGAGTTTGTATAAATAGTTTCTTTCCATTATAAGTATATATCGTTTGTATCGAAAACCGTTTTACCGAGTTTTGAAACATGTATGCATGCTTACCAAGAAAATCCAATATTTTCTAACATGTTTGTTGATTTCTGTATGAAAAGTACGTTCTATTTGAAAACCCTGGCTACCACCAATATATAATTTATGATCCTTCAGAAACCCTGGTTACCACCAGTATGCATAGTAGTTTAATTACTTAAAATAAAACTATAGATTTTGTCCCTAGAATACCCTCCAATAAGTAGATAAGTAGTTTTATTAGTTAAAATAAACCTATAGAAGAAAGAAATCCCGTAAACAATGATTAGTTTATACTTATTGTGAGTCGTATAACCATACTAATTTGACTTGTGACCTCCTTGACGTTCTTCAGGCGTCGTACGATTACAAAATTTGTCACCCTAGGCATGCCCGCCTAACTGTAGCTAACAGTTCAGGTGTGGGATTGTCGGTCCCGAATAGATCTATCCACAAATTTCACGCTCTCCCTCCAGGAGACTCTGATTATACTATCGGTGAGGATTTATTGGTACCCCTTTAGGGCAAAACGAAGATAGTCTCACAATACTGGATTAACTAGTTTACATGTTTGTTCGGTTGTTCTCGAGTTCGAAATCGTTTGTAACGGTGTAGAGTATAAATAATTATACATAAAATAATTATGTAGCATGATACTCTAGTTTTGTATTCGTAGTAATGAATAAACTAAATCTGACATACTTTATGTGTTTGACTTGTATGAAGTTTGAATCTATAAGACAGGTAATGAAATCCCAAACTATACTTATTATAGTTTGAATGGTTGTTACGTTTGTGTCAGGTTTTAAAAACCATGCAATTATAAATTGAAAACATCCCTTTATGCTCCGCATAATACAAAAGGGATAATTGTATCTAATGTTTGATAGAAAATCGTTGTAATTGCATCGGTTTGTAAGTTATGAAAACCTTTTATGTTTAGCCTGTATTCCCCCCCTGAAAATATGAAAAATCAGAAAAGTGTAGCGGTATGAACTCACAGTTTATTGTAGGATTCGAGTGTACGATCGATATGAGTGTTGAGTGTCAACGGATGTTCTAAATGCAAGTGGACCCTAGTAATCATATGGTAACACATATACGTATTAGATCAGGGTATTTCATGACTAATCATGGTGGGAAACTACCCTAAGGTCTTGGGAATGCTTGTACTAAGTGCTGTAGGTTCTACACGTAGTGATCCTTGAAAGATTAAGGCCAACTATGAGCATTAGAGTGGGTGTATGGCCATAAAGGTGAGTGTGTGGCTAGCGAGTGCGGCTAGACTTGTGTGTGCGGCTACACACAAGAGTGTGCGGCCGTATCGAGGGTGTGTATGGCCGTACACTCCATGTTTGTGCCCGAAATGTCGATTTTGAGGTATTTCAAGTTCAAAACCATGTCTTAATTCGAATATAGGGGTCGTACTCTCACTTTGGAGGGTATTTGAGGTGTGTGCGGCCACCTTATGAAGGTGTGCGGCCGCACCCCTTCAAAGGATGAAGAACACGAAGAAAACTATGAGTCTTAAGCTTAGATTTAGGTCTCTTACCACTATAACAAGTTGAATGGTGAAGTAGTTCATGTTTTTGAGCCCTTAAGAGTGTTCTTGGATGAAGTTTTTAAAGAGAGAAAGTAGAGAAAGAGAGAGAGAGAGAATAGTGTGCATCCAAAGAAGAAAAAGTGACTGAGAGGGGGTTCTCTACTATATATAGGGTCAGGTGTGTGGTTGGGGGAGTACGTGCGGCTAGGTGTGGGTTGGTTGGCCGCACACGCGGGTGTGCAGCTGCACACACCTTCCTTGGTGTTTTTGGCCCGATTTTGTGATGCTACACCCTTTCTAACCATTCTTAAGACTCATAACTAGGCTATACTAAGCCTAAAGCACTCATATGGACCCACGATTTCACTATAAGATGATAAATTCGAGTGAAATATTGATATACAGATCGATTGTACATGATAAAAGTTTCAGGTTGTCACATCATCCCCCCGTTAGAGGGAATTTCATCCTGAAATTCAAGATTATGGATAGAAATCATGGATTTAGAAAAAGATGAGGGTACTTCTGTTTCATTGAATTCTCGCGCTCCCAAGTAAATTTAGGTCCCCGCATAGCAATCCAGCGAACCTTCACTATCGGGATGCGACTCTGTTTCGTTCGTTTGACCTCTCGGTCCATGATTTCAATTGGTTCTTCCAC